CAAGCATTTTTCGTCGTGTCTTAAAAAAAAAAAAAAAAGGAAATCTTACGAAGAAGAAGTTAATTGCAATTAATCACAAAAGCCAACGGCCCGAAAAGATCCGAAACTTTTAGACGCCCGTGTATAACTATCTTCTCTTCTCTTTTTCCTTCCCTCGAGCCAGATAACCGGAAGCGTTGATCCCAGGAAAAATTCTCGCCGCAGTCGACTGTAATGTAATCGTGGAAGAGAAACGTTGCCCTCGCTCAGGTTAGAGACACCCACGGCTCGTTCTTTGCGATAATTGAAAACTTCTATCGGTTTCTTCTTTAAACGATCGCGAGCATCGTCGCATTTCTAAAGCCTCTTTCACAAAGCGTAATATCCTCCCCCGCAACAATGGATCCTTCGTGCGCAATTCGTTCTAGGAGGAGTTCCTCGAATCTGAAACGAACGTTCAATTAATTAATCAATCGAATTATTCGAAATGTAAAACATTTTTTGGGGCGTCTGTAGAAAATAAAAGGAGAAAATTAAGTTTAAGAATGTTTCAATCGATAATCTTCTGCGTTGAGAATTGATTTATTTCTTTTTTTCTTTTCATACTTTCTCCATAATCGTTACGTAACAATTGATTTCCTCCGAGTTGAATATAAATTTAACTCGTGAAATTGATCGTGTTACAGAAGAGGAAGATTCATTTGTTATTTAATTATGTGCAACAAAATTATAAAAAAATTTCATTCCAAGTGTAAAAAAAAAAATCAATACCTTTTCATTTCAATTCAATAAAACCGATTCGTTCGACGATCGTCCGATCTATTGAATTTTATTACACGTGTGAAAGAAAGAGTCGCGTTCAAGTTTTTTTAACCAGTGTAAGGGATAATTTTAAACTCTCGGCGAATCCTCTCTCCTTGCCTCTTTGAGCCACGCATTCGAGCTTGATCGCCGTCTAAGGCGGTCCTCACACGGGGAGGAATGGCCGCACAGATGAATAAATCACCGATCTTCGAACGGATTTGCAATGAGAATTTTCGCCCTGTCTTCGATCGAGCGGATAAAAAGGTGATCCAGTGATTCCATCGATATCTCTAACCTCGTCATGGTCGAAATCTTCTTCTCCAAGCGAACGATTCGAAATATCGAAATGCATATAATTACTCGATTCTATCCTTATTCAATTCGCGAACGAGAGAAATTCAATTAAAAATTCTCACTTTTTCCTTTTTTCCCCTGTTGACAATTAAACTCGTGTTCTAATCCGCGAAAGACCGATGAAATTAAAGAGAAAAAGGAAGAGAGAAGAGTTCTCCCCTGTGTGATTTATTGATCGGTTGGTCGGTGTGGACGGAGCTTAAGGCGCTCTTTCATCTTCCACCGAACGCGTTCCACGGCCGAGGAGGAATTGCACGAATGAAGTTCTCATCAGGCAAGTTAAACGTCGCGTCGCGTTGAAAAGGTCCCGAAGGTAAACACGAGAGAGCGGGAAGAATTGTTACGGGTCCAAACAGAATCCGGTTTCCGGGTCAAAAAAAGGAAAGAAGGGAAGAGAAAAAGGAAGGGAGAGAGAGAGAGGAAAATTGACACGGTTATATCAAGCGATAAACAGCGAAAACGAGTCGACCACCTTTTCCACCGAAAGAATTATTTAAACGCATTGTGGGCGGGATGCGTCGTGTTTCGTTTTCGAGATTCTCCTCGTCGAGGAGAGACACGTACGCCGTACACGTTTGCGCGTTATGCATATGAGATATGTACACGTATATGTACACGTATGTACACAGCTGAAAATCTTATCCACGTATGGATGTCGTTGAATCGAATTATATATAGATAAACGTGTTTTCGTGGAAATAGATGTTGCGCAAAACGCGAAAAATTATTGAAAGTAAAAATATACTCTTATTATCTCATTGATAAGATTGTTATGCAAATTGAGGGAATATCATACGTTCTACTTGAATTTTTGCAACGTAAAGAAAAAAATATTTGTATCTGTTTCACAAATATCATTACACTTTTTTATTTAACGATGCATGAAATTAATAATAGATAACAATTAATCATAATTAACGTATAAAATTAATTTCTACTAATATTTATAATAGTCATAATTTAAAAAATAATTAAAAATAAAAGCATATAATTAAATAAATAATATATAATTAATATATAATAATAATAATAGAATTAATCATCGCTATGAATAAAACATAACGCTTTTAAATAAAGTCTAATTCATATTCCAATATCCAGTTATTTCCTTTTTTATATCCACAAAAAAATATCTTTTCACTTTTAATGCAACTGTGGAGGAACGAATCCTAAAACCTTCTAATTCTTAATTGATATCGCAAACTCTCGGAGCCATATGTCGGTATCCATGTAAACCATTGCAGCCATGGTGGAACCTTGCAAATCCACTGCCTCCCTGTCCTTAACATCTGTTGGTTTCCTAACTTCCCTCCGCAAGAGGAGGCGCTGCAGCCAAGTGGACACACGGCTTAACCCCCCCTTGCCTCGGTTTGCTAATTGTTCCAGGACCTGATGACGAAGAACAAGCAACGGAATTGGCGACGATTTCTGGCCGGCTGCTTGGTCGCCGTGGTCGTGCTCGG